TCATGTGAACAAGGGAGCCCCCAGGCCCCTCGAAAAGTGTTGGTGCATGGTTGTTGAAGGGAGTTGGGCAACAAGTCGTATTGAAGTTTTAGCTTTTTGAGGGCAAAATGAGATACAACGCCGTTTAAGTCTTTGAAGAAATCTGGAAGGCCTTGAAGCGTCTTGGTCTTTTCAATCCCCACCGAAACCATGATTTCGTTGGTTTGATGGTCCTCAAACCGTTTGAAGGCATTGAAGCAGGTCAGGAAATTGTTATTGCGACCATCGAGGAATCATTTGGCTCGGAAATGGCTGCCTTCAACACGTGAGGTCGAAGAATTACCGAAGTGGTGAGTTTTTGAAGTGAATAAGTTGACAAACTTTTCCGTACGACCTAGCCAAGTACTTTCCAAATAACCATAAACATCATGCGCTCGGGCAACCTTGCTGACAGCCTGAAGGTTAGTATCATAAGACTCCTGTGTAGATGATGAGATAAATGTATTCCAAAGTTTCATGAACTCAGTCCACTCTGGTTCTGAAAACTTGCTCTTGCAATTTTTTGCCACGTTGATGTTGATGTGCCATACACATAGAATGTGCGTTGACTCGGGAAATACCTGCGCAATAGCGTTGTAGAGCGCAGGTTCAGCATCTGTTGCAAAAGTCTCAGGTGACTTGAAGTCGTTGGATTTGTGCGAATTTTGAAAACAAACTTCTTTAAGTTGGGATAAGGCCCATTCGTATTGATCCTGTTTTTCGTTGTTCAAAAAACACATTGCGACGGTAAAAGAGCGATGTGTATTTGTCGTCCCGACAATGTGTAATAGGGGGAGGTTGAAACGGTTGGTCTTATATGTGCAATCTAAGCTGAGGACCGTTGGGAAACGTCGAGCTAACCGGATTCCAGAGGGACTAGCAAAGAAGAGGTTCAGAAGGGTACCATCGGATGCTGTTAATGTGCGGTGGGCCCACTGGCTAGCAACGATGAGATCAAATAATCCTTGAATAGGACTGCGACCGTTGAGCCAATTCTCCCTCTGTCAAGATCGAACGTTGTGAATATCCCTTAACAAGGGTTGAGATCCTGGTTGAACATCGATGAGAGATCTGATCAACGACGGGCGACAGCCTGCTGATGAAAGCACGTCAATCGATGAAGAAGTGCCTGAATTGAATCTCCGGTAAATAGCCATATTGTGAGGTTGATCAAAAGGCTCGTGATTGTGATTGAGTTTTTCAGGATTCTTGGTGTCTTGACATACAATCCATCGGTCAGTGTTGGCTCGGTAATTGAGTGACACCTCGAACAGACAGCCTGTCTTTTTGGATGAAGATGAACGCTTCTGAGCAACCGAGGGAACTTTGTGGCCAAGAGAGCACCGGAGATAAAGTCGAATGGTCTGTTGATTGAATGTTTTATGACTCTTGATGGCGACAGCGTATCCTTGATGTCGGGCCACTGCGTGAAGATACATCATGCCATTTTCCAATTCGATAAATGGTTTTCCGGTTTTAGGTCCTTCAAGCAAACGAACAGGTGTGGCGCCTGTTGATAAACATGTCAAAATGAATTGTCAGCTTTCAGAACGAAGAAGGTAAAGTACATGTAAAATGACGTACCAATAGGAGGCCAGTCCGAATCTCTTTCATTGTTGTCTAACGCAATTTGAATCGTGTCTTGTTCATTGTTGTCCGAGGTCAATTGAATTGGAACGTCAATGTTGGCAGTACCAGGTAAACCCATGATGGGTGTACCTGTCGGAGTAGAAGCAGGTTGACTAGAGCAAGCAGAGGGAGCGGTACCAGTTGTCGAGTGCGTGTCTTGCGTGTCTTTCTCTTTGATTTTGGAGTGGAGATGTAAATTCGGAGTAGGTTGAGAATACGAGTGCGCAGAAGGAGGCAGTTGAGAAAACGGGCGATTATGGAAATGAGCCGAAGGATCGAAGTGAACAGGACGGTGGTGATAGAAAGAATCGGTTTGGAAAGGGTTTCCAGCATGTGCAAACATGCTGGGTGGGGCGCCTATTCCAGGACCGGGGTGACAATACGATGGAGCAACGTGCGAAGAACCAGATGGAGGTTGGTACGAAGAACCAGAAAACGGTGCAGATGTAGTAGATGGGTAGCCAGGGTACGAAGATCCAGAATGATCTGTGAAAACGTAAGAACCTGGGTACGAAGATCCGGATAAATAAGGGTGTGATGATACGGGAACAGGTGGTGGATGTGAACCACCACCAGAAGGTTGTTGGGCTGAAGTTGGGTATGATTGTGGTGGGTACGAGGGGGCAGGAGGTGGATGTTGACCACCTTGAGGGCGAGAAGGGTACAGCAGGCCAGGAGGTGGGTAAAACGGTTGAATGTATCCGCTCGGAATTTGACCTTGAGCTGCTTCTGCAGCTGTGTAGGTCACGTGAATCATGTGAGTCGGAGCTGTTGGGGCACCATCATGATTGATGTGTACAGCATCGGAAGGTAATGGGGTACGCGGGTTTAGGTGGGCCATGACTCTGTATCGTTCAATTGTTCGAAGACTTGGATTGTGTGTTCTGTGATTGATACTGTGATTGATTTGAATGTACGGCGGTGTTAATGGGGTTGGTTGGGTGTGTGAAAGTTGGATGATTAGAGTTGGATGGGGAGTTGTTGGTATGTGATGACAAAGAGGAAGAAAGCGGACAAGGGAAAAAAATTGTTGGAGATAGGCCTCCTACCTATCTCAACGTTATCCTCTACGCAATGAGGACCCGATGTCCGTGGCTGGTCCGGGCGCAAATTAATTTGGGAGCCCTTTCCTTTTATTTGAATGATCTTTGATGCCCAATCAAAGAATGATAGGGCATCAAATAAGGAAAAAAGGGCGCATTTGGGAAATTGTGCCCTCTTGGTGCCCCTGAGGTCCGAGGATGCTGTATTTGGCGTGAGAAATGTCGAGTATCGACGGGCCACACGGGTATGTGTCAAAACCTGGGGGGCGCCGGATATCTTCTAAGAGGGCGTTAAATAGTGGGATCCACTAAAAAGTGCACCATGAGTCAAATTTTGATTGACCAGAGGAGTAAAGTAAGTAGAATGCCCCTTTGAGGTCAATGTTTAATGTGCCTATGTGAAAACGACAGTTGCTCTCCATCCAACTTGTCATCAGTGTACATACTTGGGGAGTGTTTTTTGTCCTTAAAACCTTACTGTGATCTTTCAAGATAATGTTATAATCTCAATTAACTTATTCAAAATAAAAGTGTCAACCAAAAATTGGAAGGGGAGGATAGAATTGACTTCTATCTCATGATTTATGATTTCTTCAACACTGTTCAGAATTGAACTGACCAGTTGCGTTCTTTAACACATGTAGATGGTGATAACTTCTCCTTAATATCACAATATCCATGTGACTATCCTTTGTTAGATAACTTGCTGTCATTATTACACATTGAGGAAAAAAATTACATGCAGAGTCATCTATGCTTCATGTAAGTTGAAGGAGGAAACACAAAATAAAAAGATCCAATAGTGACTGGCACCATGCCCATGTGGTGTTTGCTCATTGACGAGCACACACGAGTCGCCTTTGTGCCACAATGGGAGTTCGTGTGCGCTCGTCGTTGGGCGACTGCCACAAGGACATGGTGTGGAAGCCTTGTCATAGCAAAAAAAGCCTACCTGGCCTACCATCAGGTGTTTCTTATTGCCTCTCCTTGGAACATACAGGGAAATTTCGCACAGCAAGTCATCAAGTGAAAATTTGTGGCGCCATTAAATTGATATCTGACCACTTGACTAAATTCACAGGTCACAGTTAGCTCTCTGGAATGGAGATCTTAGAAGATGGAAGCTCAACACACCCACATTTTACACTTGACCCTGTGCACATCCTTTTTGTTTTTGCCTTTACAGTGTCTTCTCTCTTGTTGAGCGTATAAATAATCTGTTTCTTGCTCTTCAAAGTGGTGTGTTCATGCGGCGCACTTATTGAGCTGGGTGCACCTAAAAGCTACATATCCCAGGAGGAAAATTGTAGGATCAAGCAGGCTCAAAAGTTGACTTCAAGAGAGTCCATTGACAAGCTTAAAATCAAGACTCTTTGAACCAAGAATGAAGTCATTGAATAGATGTGTAAGAACTAATGTTGATTGTGTGTTTGGAGAGAGTCAAGGGAGAGCTCAACAGATATTGTGGAGTCAGTCCACTTCCATAGCACTCTCCCGTTTGTCATGAAACCTGAAGTTCAGCTCTCTGTGTCTTACAAGATCTTGTTGTATTGATAATTTTTTGAAGGGATTACAAATTTACATTTATTTAATATTGTTTGTGTGATTATTTTCTATTAAGATTTGACTCTTATTTAACAGAAACAAAACAAAGATAATAATTGTTTGTGATGTCCTGTGCAGCTTCAATGTTTCAATAAGTTTAGGCAAAGTACCATTGGTTTGTTTTCTGAACTTTGAATGTCCAATATCTCAATACTTTAACAAAGATGGTAAGCCTTTTTTGGGGGCTCTTCCCTTGAATCTTATCAGTGTGAATGAAAGTGTATGTCATTTCATTTGCTTTCAGAACAGAAAACTCAGTAGAATTGTGGTATCAATCATATCATCACACGTGTTTACATAAACATGATTTGTGCTCAAATTCTCTCTCTTGTCTCTTTCTAAACCTACAATCCAGAATCAGTATCATCTCTTGCAATCTCTCTTTACATATGTTTTCTCTTACTTTTCAAAATTGAATGAATCCTGATCAGGAGTGCTCTGGTAATTCTGTCAAAAGATTGTGACATGCTTTCACATTTGGGGCCTCCTGATCATGAAACTCTCATATATCTCCAAGGAGTTTGGATTATGTTGTCCGGTTTGTGATTAAATAGGAGTAAATGCATCATTGATTATTTGTTGTTTGGAATCATATGAATTTAATAAAGTTGATAACTCTTACCTCTCCTACAACTGTCTTTGAAGCTGAAGAAGCGGGCTTAGAGGATGTGTATGATCTTGTTAGCAGATAGGTCCACAATATCATCATGTTTCGTCTGCCAATAAGACCGCAAGACGTTTTTGCATATCCCTGTGAAAATCATGAAGCATAATTCGAAGGAAGAAAAGGTTATTGAAGCGAAAAGAGAATCAGTGAAATGCCTGCTTCTGTCTTTCTTTGATTGTAGATCAAAATATTCTTAACTTTTTCTCGTTTTTATCGCACATGGCAGTACTGATCAAGGACTCAAACTCTTCTGTTTCAGCATCTATCTCACCTCTCATTTTTTCAATTTCTTCTACGTGTTTCGCCTCTAAATTTAAAAAATCAAAATTTTAGGAAAATATAGTCAAAATCATAGTATTTCAGAGGACAGGACGAGACCGTACCGTATTCTGAGAGCTCTTGCAAGAAATCTTTTTTACAAATTTCAGATTCCCTCTCCAATTCGCGTATCTTGATAGATATTTCGTCGTTTGAGTTCTGTGCGCCGATCAGACCAAAATCAGTCTTCTTAATAAAGTGAAAAACAGGCATAGATGAGTTGGGCTGACTTGAATTTGAACAAGGGCTTCTAGTACCTCTCCCGAGTCCTCTATCACCTTGTTTCTTGATGCGACGCAGGACACGAGACTCAGTTCGAGTTGTTTACTGTTATTTGATCAGATTTCATATTGTCAACTGATTACACATTGATTAGATTCAGATAAATGGTTTAGTCACCCCATGTTTTCGGCCAAGGTAGCATCATTAGCAAGCAGATGATCGATATGAGCAGCAATTTTTCGAAAATCGGCCTTTATCGATCCCGCAGCTTCATCAAAAACCATTTTCCAGGGTTCTATGGTCAGACCAGATAGATCAAACCTCAGAATTTGGTGAACAAGAGGGTGAAAGGTATATAAAGCAGCTTACGATCGATCTCGTGAATAATCTTTTTAGCCTTTTCTAATGATGCATCTTTTTCTGCCTCTGGATTTGAAGGGATTCTATTACGCTCACCCCACATTTGCATCAGAGATAAAGCTTTCGAATTTTTGAAGGTCATGTGAAGATAGGTATACGCAACTTAGCTGGATCATCTGACTCGATTTCCCATCCTCTTTCCTTATCTTCATGTTGAATGAGGTCATGGTTAATTAAATCAGGAAGTTCACCTTCTATCACCACACGTCTTTTCCCTGCTTCTTCAGGAGTTCTGATGTTTATTCTTGATTTGGCGTAGCTTTGAAGCTTCCCTGGAGTTTGAAACAACTCAGAGTGAGAGGTGGACGGCTCAAGCTCTTCGACATGTGAGTAAAGGTCATTATGATAGCCAGAAATATGTGGCTGTCTCTTCTTTTTTTGAGCCGATTGATCTAAAGGAGCTTCAAGTAAGGTGCGTTTACTGTTCTTGGGTATCTGAACTCGACCGTTGATCTTCTGGGCCAAAGAATCAGATTGAAACCCTTGGTCTACCAAGTTTTTCGAATCTTTTGACTTTACAAGTCCGATGTCAACCTTTTTCGTACGACCTGTGAAACATGGCAAAGGAGTCAGGATACTCTGAAGTGGGTTTTTAAGCTCCATGAAAAACCCTGATTACCGAACTTGATAGCCTCGTTCAAGCGTTCATCGGCTAAAAAGGTCAAATCTTTACGAGGCATGAGGGTGTTGTGAGTGGATGAAATACCTTGCTCGATCAATCTTTGGTCTTTATGGTTGAGCATGATGTGATAACTATCTCTTGATCAGAGATATGACGTCAACCTTTGAGATTTTGTAGGTTGACTCTGTTGACCACTTTACCACATCATCTGTACCAAACACTCTTAATCATGAATCACAACCTGAAATCAACATTTGACTCAATTGACTTGTAAACCATAGAGACAAATTATCATCGCGATAGCCCTGCCCAGGTTCAGGATATCACAAAGACACAAAATCAAGCTGTTTTAAAGTGAAACAGTGATTGATACAGCTCATTTGGAGAAGCTTGCCTCAATTGAGTCATTTGTGACGACGAGTGACTCGAGGTTGTAGAGCAAAAGTAGGCAAGCTACTTGAATACCAAAGTACAATAAGATACTTGTTGGATCTGCTCTTCTGATAAGAGGCATCGCTCACAGTTGCGTCACGGTAAAGACCGGAAACTTCAGAACAACAAATCAACGCAGTGAAGTGTTCTGTTCTTAACTTTTTGAACAGAGGGTATGTTTACAAGTCTGATAGGCGGCCACTTGATGATATGAAGGACAGTGAAGAGGGAAGGACTCACTTTTCAACCTTTGACAGGACAGCTTTTCTCTGTGATTGAGGTCTGTCACCATCATCTTTCTTATTACTATCATGATTTAGCATTGCATTGAGATCTTGTCGTGTTTCCCGTGTCGTAACAGTGGACATCAAAGCACTCATCCTCTTTTCAGCTCATTGTTTAATTGATTGAAAGCCTCAAACTTTTCAGTGCTCGCTGTTCAGAGATTACCGAGACTGTTCGGGTCCTTGATGGCAAGACTTTGAGAAAACTGATGATATCTGATGATGCAGTTGAGTTTGAGAAATGATAACGTCATGAGTCAATTCACATTATTTGAAACCACAGTTACACAATAAAGTGTTTTACTGTCAAAGTGCATTTTGCAAAAAAGTGCTGGTGATGTACCGGTACCGGGTACTGTATGCATCTCACCACTTCTCAATCCGATCAGCACATTTGCCAATTTGAATTCTCTACTTTTTTGTGTCAAAGTTCAAACGCAGACGAGGGACGACATCAGTCACATCAGTTAAATTACACCTTCCTACGACCAACATCGAGAGGAATTAATTTGGCCGACAAAACTCAACTTTGAACATGGCATCACCTTCCACCGTCGATGTAAGGTTGGCCTCTCTTAACATTTGATCTGGAGACATGATCCTCCATCACTGGTGTCTTGCATTCTCGACTGATTTCGATTGATTTGGTGATTATTAGCTCAAACGTACTGCCCGTTTATGCCGCCAACCCACTCCCACCTGGTTGGACAGAACATCGAGGTAAGTTAATCCGATTGATCTTCGCGTCGCACAAGTTCAGCTCACATGACATTCTCAACTTTAGCCCCGACTGGACAATTTTACTATTATCATGCTGAAACACAAGAATCAACTTACGTACGCCCTTCGATGGCGGTTGTATCTACATCTTCACCTGTCACGGAGAAGAAAAAGGAGAAAAAGAAGGAGAAAGCAAAGATCAAGCAACCCATACCGGGGACGAGTTGGATGAAGGTCACCACTACCGATCAAAACACATTCTATACCAACACTGATACTAAGACATCAGTTTGGACAGTACCAGATGAAATTAAAGACGTAGTAAAAAAATTAGAAGAGGAAGAGCGAATCAAAGCAGAAGAAGCTGTCCGACAAGCGGAGCAAGAGAAACTGGCCAACGCGGAAGAAGCTCGTCGTGCACATGAAGCAGAACAGAAACGACTTATAGAACTTGAAGTGCAAAAAGTACGAGCTGAAGTAGAAGCAGAAGCTACGTTACGTGGTTTAAAACGAAAGCCAGAAGATCAATCGAACCCCATTGTCTCATCTCATCCTTTACCCTCAAAGCCCTCACTCACCGCTTCTGTCGGTCAAATACCCACGGAAGGATCTGGGGTAGCAGAGGATGGTTCTCAGGGAGGTCAAAGAAAGTTACAGAAACTCAATGGAGACCGCGACGAAGATGAAGACTGGCAACGTCAAATTGCTGAAGAAATGGCTCTCGAGGCTGAACAGGAAAATAAACCAGAAGTACCTCAACCTATTCAAACTACCCAGCCTACTGTTGTACCTTCTCCTATGTCTGTGATGCTCGCTAGTCTTTCCGGTGACGAATTGAAGGCCACTTTCAAGGTACAATTGAAATATCTTCCTCTTCAGTCATATGCTGACTCTTTTACATCGTTCTAGGCAATGCTGTTGGAAAAATCCATCGATCCTATAGCCCCATGGGACAACGAACTTCCTAAATTTGTCACAGACCCTCGCTACCTCGGTATGTTCAATCTCAATCTTCATGATGCAACTGACTCTAAGAAAACTTACTATACTTTCTTTTGGTGATGGGTCATGGACAGCTCTATCATCTATGAAAGAAAGGCGTGATCTATTTGATGAATTCTGCAAGGAAAAACTTCGACAACGGAGAGCAGAGAAGCAAGTGACAGCGAAACTTAGCGTTTGTCTTCTCGATTTGTTTCTCAAGACTCTTTCACGGTTGATCAATCGGCACAAGCTTCGAGACTTATCCTGATTTCGCGCACTTTTCCTTCAGCCTCCCGAGGCTTATCGTTCACTTCTCATTGAGGCCGTCACATCAACTCGTACACATTGGGAAGAGTTTCGAACAAAGTATAAGAAAGACCCTCGGTTTCGAAATTTCGGTCGTGATGATCGAGAACGTGAGAAGGCGTTCAAAAGTTGGTTGAAAGAATTAGGTGAACGTAAGCGAGCTGAAGTTCTCAAGGCTGAGGCAGACTTTACACGTTTTTTGAGCGAGAAGCGGGGTGAACTGGAAGCTGCTCATCCTAAACTCTCCGAGACAGAATGGAAGCAAGTGAGAGAAATTCTGAAGAAAGATAAACGCTTTGATATCATCACAAGTAATACAGTCAAAGAAGGTATTTGGAAGAAGTGGTCGAAGCAGCTTGAGGAACAGGCTGGAATCGCTTCAGCCATTGATCAAGAGGACACGAAGAAAGCCAAACAAGAGGCTAGCTTGAAAGCCAGGGAAGAAGAAGTTCGATTACAAAGGCAGCGACTGGACAAGCAAGCTGACATCACTCGCCATGAGTTAGGCAAGGAGGAAGCTGAACGAGAATTTCGATCTCTTTTGATTGACGCAGTCCGAGACCACGACGTGAGCCGAATTTCTGACTGGATATATGAATGACAACGTTTTTAAATATGGCGATTGATCTTCCACTCTAAAACTTGTGCTAGGTGACGTGGGAAGAAACACATCGGTCACTTGAGAAGGACCCGCGTTTTCCTCAAACCAAGGCATTATCTATCTCAAATCTCAAGCGAATCTTCTCCGATCATACGGCTTCGATCTACGCAAAGCGTCTATCAGCTTTGGAATCTTTCTTCCAAGATCAAGCTCCAAGTTTGGCCACCTCGTTTTCGGTCGTAGAAAAGAAGTTGATGACTCTAATTGATGAGAGTTCAGATGGCTCAAGTCAATCTTCACTTTCGCCTGATCAACTCTTAATTATCACAACTGTCAATCGATTGATCGATCCACAAAATCGGACTCGCGGCTTACAGACAATTGAAAGATATTATGATGATTGGAAACAAAAGAAAGAGACTCGAGCTCGCGAAGAGTTTGAGGAGATGTGTGGTGAAAGTGCTTTTATAGACTTTTGGTGTCGAATGAAGAAATCTGGGAAGGAGGATGAAGTAGGTAAAAAGACAATTGGTGATGATGGTGAGGAAGAAGAGGAAGAGGAAGTCGCAGATCTAAGAGAGATGGCCAAAACAATTGATTTGAGTGAAATTGAGGCCGTGATGAAGAAAGATAAGAGGTGGATTGCTTGGGATCACCTTCCTGATCAACGAGAATCTTGGATGAGAGTCAGTGACATGGATTCCTTTCTCTTTGTATCGAATCAAATGCTGACCTCAATCTGCGATGTTTCAAACACAGGCTCATCTCGAAAAGTTGGCAAAGCCAAAGCTAACAGTTTATCAAAAATCATGATCACAGCGATCAGGAAATCAAATCTCAATTTTTTCGACCTTGGAAATCATTGGGAACTTTTGGTTTCCAATCATCCTTTACAAAAATCATCTCATGTAGACGTGTTCTGGTTCCTAGCTATTTCTTTATCATCAGCAAAATAACATACAACAAAATTGTTTTCTTTTTTCTCATATCAATCATCAGAAACCACCCCATAATAATTTGTGACTTGTCAAAATCGATATGTTCTTTTTGTGATGTAGCCCGGTAATCCTCGATGCCTTTTGAAGGTCTTATCTCATGTTTGCATAAATAATCTTGCCTTCACCTCGCAGAATTAGACGCTCATTCACTCTGCCACAGCGGCTTATCAAAGGCGCGCTTTCAGGTCCCGTCAAGCAGACATGCGTGAAGATGACCTTCCTCTCAGAATGCAAAGCTCGCTCACTCTCCACGTCTACTAATCCAACTTTGCATGACACGCTGTCAGCTCCCGTCAAGTAGAAGCAAGTAGATCTACTGGCAGACGAAGATACCCGTGGGGTCTGTCTCTAAGATGAAGTCGGTATTGACACAGATATTTCCGTCCAAAATTCGGATACACATGGGAATTGACCGCGTCTTTTGTATGCGGTGCTGACGTCAGAATGATCGACGATTTCGCTGGTGTGTGTCCCGAAGACCAACAGCATCTCCGTAGAGGGTATGTACATACATGCGCGGCCATTTTTGACCTCACGGTATATCTCGCTCAGGTTTATTGTTGGCTGATCAGCTATTCGTATCAGTTTGGGGTCCCCATGAGTCACAAGCATATCATCTCAGCATCAGCGAGCCTTAAGCTGATGAGGATCATTTCTGATTGCTTGAAAATGAGAGTGTTTGTTAATTTGTGCATTGTATATGCGTTCGGCTCATCAACTCGCCGAAAGATATAGGTCCTCCCTCAACAGGCAACTATCTGCGTATCTTAGCGCATGAAGGGAGTTGAATATATGCCGGTTGATTGTGGAAAAACGAGCTAAGAGGAAGCTTGTGAGTTGGATGAAAGAGAGTCAAGCTCTCGGCTGTCGAAGCGCATGTGAGCCATCCCGAGCTTCATTGCTTTTGTCAGCCAGAACCCAAGTGAAAAAGACATGCATATATTGTGGTTTTCAAACTAAAGTCGATCTAAACGTCACTCGACACGCATGGTATCGTTGGAGAACGGAAGGATTGAAACTCTATCAACTTATGTAAATCGCTTAAGCTTCCAGGGTCCTTCTCTCTATGGCCGGGAGTTGATCATCTTGAAATCTTCAGCAGCCGGTTGAAGCTTCGAAAACCTCGGAGACTAGATCCGAAAGTTTGATCCCGGTTTTAGGACTTGAGTCTGATCTTTTGATAAGTACCTGCATGCGTCTCAAGAAAAGAAGAAGTAAAAACAAACTTGAGAAAAGCTTTGATCTCCACCCATAAAAATGTTATTCACATACATATGAGATTTTTGATACCGTTGGCCAGCTAAATAATTATTTCAGCATTGCAAGTACCCCATAAGATATCGCTGCGCTGGAAATGAATTTTGGGGAAAGATTGATGTTCATCCATATACTGATGAAAACTTCGATTGAAAGTAGAGAATTGATAAGAAAAAATCTACTTTCAAATTAATGTTTTATCTGATGATTGACCTCATGATATGGGGTGTCTATCTTTCGTAGGTTTTGAGATGGTCAAATGTAGGATCAAGCAATTTCCAAGAAACTTGGCAAGTTGAAATACGAAAGTATTGGTGACTGCGCTTAATGTGGCTTTGACAGGCCCAGAGATGCTCAACTACTCAGAGTGGGCATGTGATTTAGGGCCTTTATGGCTGTGTTGTTAGAAGTATAATTTGACAACCACTCTAATCAGGAAAGAAAACAGGTGTCAGTTGATTCCAAATCGATAACTCATATCATATAAATATATATATCGCCCAAAGACAATTTTCTCCGCGAACCTGCTTGAAAAAACTCGCAAAGGAGATGTAAAAGACTTATTTGAGAGATGACAGCCATATCAAAGAGTATCAAACGCGCAAACGAAAGTATGGGCGGTTGGCCTCACATATCTCAAAAGGGTTTTTTTCCATGACTTTCAAAGGAAAATAAGCTTAGATTTTATTGAGATATGTGCCACTGCTATCAAAAAAATTGTGTTGATGTGAAGCCATGCTCCGTTGACAACTCACAACTTTAATGTTTGAGTGCGATGGATTTTTCCCTTTCCAGGAGTCTAAAGAGCTTTCACTACGGCTAGGCTTTCACTGGTTTGATTGATAGGGGAGACTGTACAAGGTCCATGGAGAGAAACTGTCCTCAAACCGGACAGCTTGGAAAAGAGCACGGCTAGAGGTGGCATTGTAGTATCGAACCTTTTACAGCGAAGCTGGTCTAGAAATTGGGAGTTCATGAAAACATTTCTTGAGGATTCATCACTCCTTTATCTTCAGAATTCAGAGCTCTCAGTGCCATTACGGCTTGAGCTTTGTGAATCTATTTGTCTGTTATGATAACATCCTTCAGGGGCTGGCCTGATTTAGGTGGGTCCAGACTCGCATCAAATGCTGGTCAATCACTCCTTTATGCCTCTGACTTGTCCCTCATACGCGCGCCGACATGTTTTATTTCGAGTTCTGTGTGGTAAAACAAAAGCATCTCAGAGCCAATCGAGGGCTAGCTGGGCATAGCTTCCGGGGATTCTAAGGTATTTTTCTATCATGTGAATAGAGATTTGTTACATTTATTTTTGGAGGGCATATATGTAGGTCACCCGCTGCATCCTCAGATCAAGCCACACGGAAATTCAAAGCCCTTGAATTACAGGTGAGACAGTTTGGAGAAACTTGCATCGAGCTTCCAATTGTGATGATCGACCCATTGGTAGACACCCTTGACTCAAACCCACGCGGAATAGGACTCGGGATGTGAAGGATTGATGATAGCTGGGTGAACATGGCCGCGGCGAGTGTGAGTGCGACCTGACCCGATCCCACTCCCCTTTTAAAACTCTTCATTATCGGTCGCTCCATATTCCCAAACAGAAATTGGTCTTTATATGTTACAAGTCAGTGTTGAAAGTTGAATCAATTGATTTCAAGAGTTTTTCCGACACGGCTCTATGCGGATCTGTTTGGCATTCGAAGCAAGATTCGAAGCCACCCTTGATCCAGAATGAACATCGGGAAGAGTCTTGACCCGATAACACGATCTCTCGGCTCACTTGATGAGGATTTCTAGTGATATGTAGTGGAGGCACCGGTCAAAGCAAGGTTGCTCATCCCAATCAGCAATGTGCGCCATAGAATAGGTGACCTTTTGTATGTTGCTGAATCTTGAGCCTTCCAAGGGCGTCTTTCAAATCACTTTAGGTTGGCTTCAGAATGGTTCCAATAATTCTGAGGGTGGTATAGCTGCTTCCTCTGCTTGTAAATATTTGAACAGCAAAAGCTACAAATCTGTTTAGAAATTTCTAGTATGCATAACTTCTGAGTCATAGTTTTTCACACCATTAACGGATGTCCACCGCGCGGATGTCATAGGCTAGCATCTTGGAAAATCGCACGGAGGAAGCTTTTGTTAAGAAACCGTCATCAATAAGAAGCTTCATACTTAACAAAGTCTCACGTTGTCGCTCGCGAGCCGAGCCAAAACACTTCATAAGCTTTCACCGTTCTACATACCGTTCTTGAACATCATTACTTAAATTCTGCCTTGAGGAATTTTTGTTGCGGCTCCGACATTGTCCGACAGCTATGACGAACATGCATACTTAATTCCAAAAAGTCCAAAATCTCCGTGGGATGGCATACATACATGGATGATAAGAAACCGAAGCGAAGAAGTTGTCGAGCTGTCCACGATAAGACTATTATGTATTATGAAGTTTCGAGGTCGATGTAGTACCTGGAGCAAGAGTGCAGCACTACATAGAATCAAATTGCAGTTGAAGGCTGAAGCAGAAGCCAGGAAGCATCCGGGTTTGGCTAGTGCAACTTCAAGATAAGGAAGGTGGCAAGGTGCCGAAAGATCGGATGACATCAAAATGACGTTCAGGCGGATGTTAAGTCAGAAGAACGCCTGAACATGATTGGGCGTGAAAAGTTACTCCGCCAAGAAGCCAGTCTCAACCTTGTTTCAAATTCAATGAGTGAAGCACACGGCAGCTAATCTTACAAAACACTTTCTGATCTGACGTGAGCCAAGATTCAAGAAGACAAAAGGTTAGAGAGCACGTCGGGATCATGAGAGCCAAAACAAATTCCAAAAGTTTTGCGTTTCACAGCCACATCATCAATTTTGCTCGACTTGAGACTGATTGGAAAGAGACAATCACATGAGTGAGGATGACGAGGAAAAGCAGTGTAAATCCTCACTTGTGATCAGTTTCGAATGTTTCCAATTTCGAGTTCCACAACACAAAGAGTCACAGCCAAGACCTTAAGGCATCGCATCAAGATATACTCGGAGATCCAAGTTTGTGATGCGCCCCGCTCCAATAAGCTGAGGTGACGAGTTTATTCCACAGCGTTGGCGTTGAGATCTGATAGATCTCAAGTGACCCACAGAGTTATCCACCAGTCCCGGTAATCTGACAGGGAAATATTCACTTGCTTCTTTTTTTTCTTTCGTCTTCTTTGGGGCCCAATCCCTGATACATAGTCGGCGAGGTCTTGATGAAGCCAGGAGGCAAGAAGCACCGAAGAAACAGTTTCGGGGGTACGGTGGAGATAAAGATGCAGATCTATGAGATCGACATGAATCGCGAGAGCTTGAGCTGCTTGAGCAGGTTTTGAGAGAAAGCTGGAGGGATTGCTTGACGGAAGAAGAGCCGGGGAAGGATGTGAAGGTTATTCGAGATGAAAAGCACATGCTTGTCTCTTCTATGATCGCTGATAAATGCGCGCGTGTGTGTCTTCTTGTCCCTCTGCAGCTCGGATGTGTATGTACAAATGGCGACGCAGAAAGCATAAGAAAACCTACAATCGTGTTTAGTATATACTGATGTTGATCCTCCATCATCCCACGGGTAATGGATCTCACGGGTAATGGTAGAGGTGATCAAGTTAGAAAATTGGGAGAGTATGTGCGGATAGGAGCTAGTAAGCAAGAAAAGCTGAGCAGAGATAGGCAGAGATTCACCCCTACGCACATCAGGCTAGGATTTGATTGGATCCAAAAAGCAGTGTCAGTTCGGGTGGTTAGGATAGAACATGGATATTCAAGAAGGCAAGGTAGGCATCCGACGAAGGATGGATGGCCTGGACACTAATCATGGGCAATAGAAAGGCGTTGGGCAGATGAGGATCCTGTGATTAGTTTACGGTCCAAGATTTGGTTCAACCTGGAAGGGCTGAGAAATTAAGTCACTTTAGGAATGAAGCTGAGGCAGACATGCCAGCGGCAGTGGGGTCACATTGTAATGAAGAAACCAACAAGGTTCCAACTCAGACAAACGACTGAGGGAAGCACTGGAGAGCACTAAGGGTGAATTAATCAAGGCTTGAAGGCAGCACTCGAGCTATCATGGACTTACAATGATGATTCTGACGATCAATTTTCTGGGATAGAAATTGTCTTACAAGCTTTCATGGGACGATATACAACCTTGGGACAATTAGAAGAAGCTCATATGGAAAGAGATTTACGCAAAACTCCGCGGTTGGTTGACTTTATGACTTCATGGAACCCACGCTCTGCTTGAAGAACGTCATAAGATGTGTATGTATGTATGACAGGCCGCAGAGTCAGAGAATGCAAAGCAGAAGAGGCATCAAGGATTAAGGTCAGCTTGATTGAAGGCTGAGATGAAAGAAGAATGACACTTGTACCGACAGAATTGGGGCCTGGATGAGTTGAGTGAAAAAAAGAATTCCATGATTGGAAAACATTAAAGTATGTACGATACAGTTTCAGATTTCTATGTAGGATGTTTTTTCTCTCCACCACCACCATCATCACCACCACCACCCACCCCTTCTTGATTTTGACCAATACTTTAATAAAACTTCGAGCGCTCTGAATCAGAGGAAAGCCGGGTACTTTTAAACGTACATGTCCACTCTAGAAGGATAGAGATAGAATTTAAAAGTAGAGTATAAAAATACTGAATCACGTATACACTCTTCGATTTACATCTTCAAGAGTATCCTCCTTCAGACGCATTTAAAGCCTTGGTCTCTTTCATGTGTTGGCGCTTTGTCTCTTTGTCTTTTCATCACCTATTCCACCAGTGACAAATTCACCTCTTTCTTATAACTTACCTTTATTCTTACCTCTGTCTTCCTGTCGCTTTCATCTCTCAATTAAATAGTCTTATTACTTATCTTATTAGTCTTGAGTTTGCTTCTCTGTTCTATCCTTGTCGGATTAGAATTCCAATTCTCCATCATAAAGATCATCGAAGGAAGTCGACCTCGATTTGAAATTCAAATTCAGCAAGATCGTTGAAATCTCATTATCATCATTTTATTAAATTCAATAACCTCCAACTGACCATTTCACCAAATAATTCAAAAGTGTAGTAGGAACTGTATTTTACAAAATATCACACTTACTTTTATGGTACAGCCTTATTCACTTATCATCAACTGTACGTTCATTCAATTGACCCTTTATAAATTGCATTCAGTTCTCATTTCACTGAATTCAACTCTCCCTCTCTCTCTCTCCCTCTCTCTCTTCACTCATATATACATACTTACTCAAATCAATATTTTCAAATCAACTCGCGGGGAACCGGCTATCCACCCTTCGTTTATGAATATATATTTACATTGTTAAATCGATACAAAACATTGTATTAGAATTATAAACCACACAACTCCTCCTCGATTCGACTCATAATCCCTATACATACACTAATCATCAATCCAAAAACATCCATTCATCAAACCATCCATCATCATCCCTGAAATCTTCCCTTCTCTTATCCTATTTATCATCTTCAGGAATCAGGCGTCGGTGTTCTTCTAATTGGGTCTGGTTTAGATTCTTCTTTGAGATCCATCTTTTGAACATCAAGAGCTTCATTAATCAATGTTCTTTGAGCTGTAGTCTAGTTCTGTAGTCTAGTCTACGCAGAATACAGTATACTCCTTATCACACTCTCCTGTTGTTCTTCACCTTTTCAACTTTACTTAAATAGCCTTAGTTCTCTCTATCACTGAGACTTCATTGTATCCTTGTCCCTTCCCCTGTTTCCTCCCTGTTCGATTTGGTCACCTTTACAGTTTTTGGCAGGTTGTTGTCTTGTCTCTTTCACATCTGCTTTTGGTCTACATACAACCAACTCTACTATACAACTCACCAAAAGCCTTATCCTCAAACCAATTTTGGTATAACTCTTCCAAATCCGGTCAACCAATACAGTCCGATTCCCACTCCTGGATTTCAATCTACCTTATCATCTCACCTCGACGGACTACACAACATGCCGATTCATCAGCCCACAAATCTCTCAGCCTCAGCTTCTGCATTCTATAGCAGCTCAATACTTTCCTCGACAAAATCAAACTCTTCTTTATCTCAATCAACCCCTCTTCCGTCTGCTTCGATGAGTTGCCCAACTCCAGCAGTCCTCTCTCCCTCCTCGCCAATTCGCACCACTTCATTACCTACTCTGTGCGAGGCACCTCAACCTACTCAGCCTACACCTCCTCTGATTCAGTACCCACAACCATCAGTCTCGAGAAGTCCTTCCTCAAATACAATTGATCCCATCTCATCATCCCCCGAAAGTTCACCTCCGACTATATGCTGCGCTCAGACCACTAGTGGCAGTAGCACCAGCAGTATCGTCGCACCGTGTTCACCCAGTCATTCCCAATCAGCGCGAGATGAGTCAAGCATCCCAAAAGGACATGCAGCTTTACCTCGGATCAGAAAGATTCACATTGACTTTAATTATCGAAGACCAACACCCAACTTGACACCCATCGAACCCTCGCCTGAAGAACTCCTAGCAAAGGACTTCAAATTTCTTACTCATGAACCAAGACAACCGCTTTGTAAGTTTCACGAGTCATTTCTTCTATTCTGTCCTCTTTTTCTACATTCTCAACTCGATGTGTAACCTACCATCAATCCGCTTGTGGGATCAAAGAGAGCAAGAGACGCAAGGGCGGTGTATGCGATAGTTTGTCAATGTATGCGAGCATCATGGGAACAGGGCAGATCTCGATTTGTGTTCTATCAGATCTCCTTTCACCCCTTTCTTCGATTGTCATGACTCATCGCCTTTGTTGCCTATCACTCTTTCCGATTTCACTCTTTGGATCTCACATCCTTCTGTATTACGCTCCTTTGTTCGTTTTCTTGAACAGCTTCTTCGCTGTATCAACTGTCTCGCGTGTAGGCTATATGCGCCTGCTTACGTGCATGTGTGTTTGGCAGCTACACAAGGTGATCCATGTATCCGAGCTCTATCTTTGTGAACCGATTCGCTCATTCCACCAATTCAGTCATTCAATCAAGAGTTCTAATTTCCATTTCACTTTAATCAGATTGAACTTCTCTCAGTTCATTCACTTCTAAATCATATCCTTTCTTATTTCCTGTTTCTATTGAATTCAAAAAATTGGTTGATTTTATTGAACTAAATCTGACTTCAAATCTCGTCTAACTCCTTATTATAGACCGTCCGGCGGTGCTGAGAAGAAGCAAGTTCTATCCACCCACTCAACCTCCAGCTGGTCAATCTGATTGCTGTGGACCAGCTGCCTGTCTTCATCAAACTCCACAATCTCCCGTCTCATCCTTTGCCGGACTACACGAAGCCCCGAGCCTACTCTCTCCAATCCGGGCGTACTCGTCTCGTTCATCATTCAATGTCAACTCATCCGCTCCTTTGCGAGCTTTGCCTCATACTCCCAATATCGTGATCATCGAGGGTCGAAAGTTCGGCCGGTTGCTCTCTAAGTCCCGTTGGGTTGTAAGTTGGCTTCTTCTCATGTCTGTTTCAGCACGTTTTACGCATCTGACGCAATGTTCTGGCTCCCTATTCAGCCCGATATCCAACGAGAGTCATGTGCGCATGATAATTGCCCACAGCGTTTCAACTTTGTTAACCGCAAGCACCATTGTCGGTCATGTGGCGATATCTTTTGCCGTTCCCACGCCTCTCAAACAGCACCACTCTTCGATGGCGGCCCAGGTGGTGAACCTACTGGTCAAGGTCTGGTGGATTGTCGGGTTTGTGACACATGTTCGGTCACACTCTCATGCGGCATCGATCCGATCTCACCCCGAAACTCCTTACGAAACTTGAGCTCCAGCCCATCATCACCCACGTTGACTGCGAAGGATCACCCAACCCTTTCAGATAGTTGGTTATCAGGTTACAGTAGTACAGGTTCAACCCAGGCACTTCCTCCTCGACGTCGCCGTAATGGTCAAGATCGAAAGAGACGACCGCAGTCTTCCAAGGGCTCCTATCCCACTTCTCGCGATCGAGAAATTGACACACCCACTGCTACGGTTAGCTCGGGTTCATCACATTTCACGCACTCTTCACCCGAGACTTTAGGATCAGGCAGAGATTTACTCCAACCCCGTCACTCATCAATGGGACCAGTTGAGCAAGAATCCAAAATAGTTTACAACTGCCTGAATCTCAATTCAAAACCCTATAATCCATTTCCAGTCATTCCGGTCATCAAGACAAAAGAAGAGGAAGTAACACGACCGGTGGTGTCTAATGAAGAACAATGGCCTGATCATGATGAAGAAACTGAAGATGAAGATGAAGATGCCGTTGTGGAGGAAGAGACTGTTATCAAATACAGACCTTCGAGATTGTTTTGGTGATCGATTCAATATGGCCTTGCAGCCTATGCTCCATTATAGAGATTTCTTTTTTCTGAACGATGAGATGTCACGGGGTGATAGAGATTTTTGGGCTGATAGTTTTCTTCGATTTCTTTTTTTTCTACTTCTCTGACTAGCTCGCATTTCTTGTGTTGTTTTACTTGATGGTTTTTTTCCCGCCTATTTTTTTTTCATTTTTGATTGACAGAGTCCGTCCTCATTCATCATGATACGTTTTCTACTTTTTTCTTTCTTGCTAGCTTTTCTTTCTAGCAGATCTCAAGAATGTGTAATCAACCTGATGAATGATTTTTCAAGACCAGAGATATATTTTATATATTACAAATTACTAACAACAGAAGATTAATGAAGCGTTATCACTACTTACTATATTACTTGCTAGTTATTTAGATTTTTTTTTCCCGATTGTTTCTTTTTTTCTGATTTTGTTTGATTTGAAAGATTTTATACATGTACTATTCTAATGACCATTCTAATGGATGGAGATATAGTTTGATAATAAATTTGGTTTATATTCAATTAAGTGCACTGAGTTGTTTTGGGACATGAGGTAGTGAGCATTGATCCAATTTCTTCCCTCGACTACTCGGGCGGGGGATATACCTTCTTTTAATATAGTATGAAAAGTGCCTGTCATGTGTCATGTCAGTTAACAATGAAGGTACAAACCATACCAGAGTGTGAAGACAAAGTACCAAGTATGACCAGGTGAGTGTAGATTTCTATTGCCAGGTGTTTGATGATAGAAGCTTCCTTGTAACCTTCATATTCATAACAACTCCAATCTGCATTTGAATCCAAGGTAGGTTAGTTTGACCAAGTCCATTTATTCAACCCCAAACCTGGTCAGGGTTTGGGCAGGCCAAAAAGAGAGAAAAACTCTAATTGAATGCCCTTCCTCCCTGTTGGGCCAGGGTTTGGGCAAGCCAGAATTGACTAAATATTTACTGGGCCTCTTGCTGAATATTGCCAATGATGTGGTGGGTGCAGCGCAACACAATTTTGATCCCCCCAGGCACATCTTTTTTGGTCTGAATTGAAGTGGGCGGGCCCATGAACCTAAGCATGTGATTTACAAGGTTTTCTGCTGAAACCAGCCCTCTTCCACCTTCAAATCATTTCAAATGAATCAATGTGTGTTATGGGTACCACCCCACACCATATTCTTCCATTATGGGAGCAGTTACAGTCTGGATTGAAAGTTACCCCAACAACAAAATATTGGACTACATTGATAGCAACATATGTTCATTGATTTTTTTTTTGATTTGGTTGATTTTTGTTGTACTATTGCTGTTGAATTTGTTTATAGGGTGTTCATATGAGATTATCAATGTTTTATGGGATGTAGAAGATGTGGCAGACAAAGCATCATCAAAAACTTGACCCATTTTTGTCCTTTTTTTGTGCCTGCTGCACCCTCTTGTGCCCCCAGCCAAAATGAGGGCACACCTGACCCCCTCCAGACGTGCCCGGGCGCGTACTTTTTCCCAAGCTCGCGCCCACCACATGAACTGCCAAGCAATTTGAGTCAACAACAATTTTACAAGTGGTGATAGAACATTTATCCTCCAAGATTGGTTGATCATGGCTCATGCTGTTGTCATCACCAAAAAGATAACAATTACTGGACTGAAAACACAAATGATGATATATGGAAATATTTCAAATTTAACAAAGTTTCTTTGTCTTGCTTACAAGTGGTTGAGGGAAGTGCTTGAGGCTTCAACCATGGCTTTAGGCTGAGAAATGTAAGATTTTGGATCATTCACCTATCATGAGTCTCATGGTGGGCACAGAACAAAAGGTGTGCCTTTTGGGTGCCCAAGGGCATAGGCACAAACAAGGGTGCACATGAAAACTTCAAATAAGGGGTGGGTGCACCCTACAGCCACAGTGTACCTTTTCAGGAGTTTTGGCATTAAATTCACTCCACACTGCACGGTAATTCCTCTCAGATGGCCTATTGGAATTCTAAGTTTTAACTTTGAATTGTGACATTGAAGATCAATCATTGGGTATGGAGTATGCAATGACCCAGGAATGCACCTACTGGTGCATGTGACCAAAAGGGGTATTTTTGGCCAGTTTCTGCTAAATGTACAGTTGTGTTCGAAAAGCTTGTCCAAATTTTCCCACAAAACTTGATCAATTTGGTAGTGAATTTGTGACAAGCTTTTTGAAAACAACTGTAGGTGACATGAAAGGGGAGTTTCTAGGGGCAAGACTTTGATGCATGTGAGCAGGGGATTTTTGACCTCTCAGGGTTAGGTTTCTTTCTCCACTTGTGCAGTGGGGATTCCTGGCAATCCTCCCAAATTTTGATCTTCCAAACAAAGTTGGAAACTTGAGCAGAGTCAAACATGGTGTCTTCTCCACTCATATCACCACACATTTATCCACAAACAACCATATAACCTCACTACAAGATCACATGAAACATGTCATATTTTGAAAAAACTCTACAAAAAGTCATCAAACTGCACAACCACTACTCAAGTCTTTGAGAAGGGAATCATCGAGATTCAACCTTGATGACTCAAATTCTCCAGCTGCTGACAACAAGGAAGGGATATGATTTCCAGTCAACCTCACTCTCAATGTGGTATTTGGTGCAGACTGCATTTGAAAACTTTTATCAAAAGGGCCTCTTGGGCCTGAGACTATTCTAGCCACATGAAAGATATAATTCAAAACTCTGTATGGACAGGCCAGATGAAATATTCTAAAAGAAGGTTTGCCACAGAATTTGGTGGAAACAAACTGAAACCATTTGCCAATTTGATATCGAGTGTGAGATTGCCATACCGCCGTCCATTACAAAACTTTCACTTTCTGTGTATTCAGTGCTTGACATATGTAACCGCCACAAGTACCAGCCCCACTCAGTGGGGCCAATGTGTGTTGCCTTGATATTGCTACTTGGTAATACTTGTTCCTGAGTTTGTGCATTTCTTCAAATTGCTGAGCATAGAGGCACTGAAAAATCTGGGCAGACATGAACTCAATATGTGGCTAAAGAATGAAGTAACAGCTACTCACCTTGACAGAGTTGATTATGATGGAACAATGATTGCATAACTGTTGCCGTGTGCCAAGTGCCTGTCACGGGCTGAGCCTCAACAGTTTTCCAAGATGTGATAAATGACAATTTGCCCAGAGCATTGTTTTGACAATAAGCAAGTGTGAAATGCCTTTCCACTTATTTATACAACTGTAATCTGTTGCATTTGATTTGCTGGCCATCTTGGTGTGTTTTCTGATGAATTTGCAGGCAAAACACATTCTCTGATGTTCATCAGGGGCCTATCTTTCCACAACAGGGGACATCAATACCCTTCAAAAGTTTTTAACCTTGGAGATGTGCAAATTGGAGTCACATCTACTGATGAAAAGAAGACTGCCATGAAGATAAGCTAAACACTGCACCTCTATCAGAGACACAAGATCTCCAACTTGTTCGCACCAAAATTTGTCTCAAGTTTGTCTGCCTTAGCGCATTGTTTTCCAACAGGCCTTCATCCCAGTAGCACCTTATCTTGTTACAATCCTTGCACACACTTGAAATTCAACTTTTTACTTCCCCATACTTTAATACTACCATGCAAACTCACAAACCTTGGCCAGCAACTTCATCACAGCCAGGGGCTGATTACCAAACCCTCACAAAGACTTCCCCCACTTGATACAACCACACCAGTGGTACTGGTCTTGCTTTATTTCCTCATTGCACCAATATACCCAACTTTGTGCCATTGCTGTTGGTTTACTTAGCACTCCCTACCCCTGGTTTTGAATTCAATCCTTCTTCTCCACAATATGTTAGGGATCTATCTCACTCTTAACCTGCTTTTAAGGAAAAAGTATTACACCTTACCCTTCTTCAGACTACAGGTATTGGAAACAATCTTGGCTTTGCTATGTGCACCTCTTCACCATGAATCAGTAAAGGGCACTGTTTCAATTGAAATATGCACCTTCCTTCTGGTGTTGTAAGCACATTAAAACACTGTCTTCTGAGAAACATGGTCTTAAAAGGATTCAAATCTTCAACTGCAATTGGGCAACCCCTGCACCCAAACCCAGACTACTTTAAGTGATCCCACTTTTGATCATCTGGCCCCATTCAAGTCCAATGTCTAGCACAGTTTGTATTAAGGAAGACTCTTACTGGTGAAATTGAATTTGAGTGGCTTGGGGAACACAAGAATCACAACCCATTCTTGATCAAAGACATGTACAAAATTTGTATGCCCAATGTGGTGAAATCATTGAACACTAGAATCCTGTAAGGTTTGAATTAGTGTACCATCCAACACCTCCTACACTGTCCCAGACTTTTTACCATTGGACATTGCTTGTGACTCTAATACCTGTCC